TGGAAGATGAAGTGGGAAGATCTACTTGGGTCATATTAGAGCACTATCAAGGGAAAGTATAAATGTTTATACTGAGTTGGGTAGGAAATGGAAAGACATGGAAGATTATAATTTTTATTTTTAAAAAGTTGTTCTTTTAATTTGACAAACATCAATAAAACTGAACATTTTCCCATGCAAAATAGACAAATAAGCCCAAAACAGAAAAGAAAGACTGCATATGAAACTATGATTATCTAGCTTGGTTTTTTAAAAAGTATTTCTCAAACTTTTTAACACTGCTGTCAGAAACATTTGAAAATCAGGTATTGCTAGATCAGAAACATCCTATACTACTGTACCAACTCAGATTAGAATCTGAAGTTGTGTCTAAAAACGGATATTGCAGGTCCCATATCAGCTGCAACAATCGGTCTGGCTCTTGTGGGCAGTGCTCTTAGGTAGACAAACTGCTATGTGAAGGTGGGCCTGGCTAGCACAAATACTTGATCTTTAGACAGTAAGTCATCTAAACTGTTTTATCCCACCAGGACACCAAAGGGTTCCTTCAGAATCCAATATCCCAAAGTACTTGGTTTCCAAAACACTTCATGAGGCATTTATACTGAGGGAATAATGCTGAGGTTAACCTAAATATATACATATATTGGTTTAATACTCCATAGATTAAACCCACAGATTGGCTTAATACCCTTTTATTAAATTCACTCATCTCACAAAAGCTTTATTCATAGGAAAAGCCAGATAAATACAATATCTGAAGAAGATTCCAAGTGAGTTATGGTGGACTCTACTTACTGCAATGACCTAGGACTCCAGGACCGATTCACCTAAGTTGGCTGACACGATCTAATTCTTAGGGTTAAAGCTAGAAGGCACCTCATAGGTTATTCAGTCCAATCTGTTTATTTTACAGATAAGGAAACTGAGACCTAGAGAATTAAAGGAAGGAAATTCATTTATAAGCACCTATCGTGTGCCAACCGTCTGTGTTCAATGCTTTACAAATACTATCTCAGAAAACATGTGTTAACAATCCTCTGATTCAGCCTCAGAAACATATTAACAGAAGAGAAGAAATAGTCAGATCTCTACTAGTATGGTGGATTTGGCTTTATAGAGTCATTGAGGAAAATGCCATCAAAATGAGAAAACCCAAACATTATGTATGTTATGTACACATATTATATATATTATGTACAAAAATTCTCAGTCTTCTTCATGGGATATCTTTTTGTTGTTTTTACATCTAATTCTGAGATGCCAAAGCAATGATAAGAATCTCCATCAAGATCATTGGTTTAATTTTTCCATCTCCTTCATTACAGTCTTCCAAGGGAGAGTACTAGTTTCCTTTAAGAAACTAAGGCACACAGAAGACTTTGCAATTAGTTATGTTCCCACTGTTCAAAATCATTAGTCTAAGGTCTTAGTAGTGAAGTTCAGTAAGTTCCCATGGAAGGGTGTGTCAGCTATTGTCTAGTTAGAATGCGTTTAAAAAAAAAACTGGTAACAAAAGTGAAATATGCTGAACCAGTGGTTTTTCAGAAAGAAGACAACTGGGAGGGGAGGGAAGTAGGTTGTGTGAATATTTTTGAGATTAAAAAAATGTAATATTACATAGTGGTACAATTTGTCATAAAAATAGTTTCTTAAAGTCCAAAAAATATGGTAGCCACACAAGACAAATATCTACTTTGATTTGATTTTGTAGATAGAAATGTTGTATCCTTATGCAAAAATTTCAGTAAAAGTCATCATGATATTTGTTAAGTACAAAATAAAATCACCATCCCCTGACTCCAAAGCCAGAAACTCATTTAACTCTCTTGCTCTCTGTTGCTGTTTACCTCACACCATCAGGGTAGAGCCACAAAAATAATTAACCTTCCACAAACTGAGCTTCTTATCCCTTAGTAGGGACTTCTAGATGAAGAGGGATTAGCTCAGGGGGAATAGGATATGAAAATTCAGTGTTTCATGCAGCATTTCTTGGCACAAACTGTAAACAATCTTTCTTGAATTAGCAGGAACACCAAATCAAGAACGGAGAGACTAGCTTTTATTTGTTGGTCCCAACCCATAAAATATCACCACTAGGGTGATCCCTTGTCACCTCAAGTGAAACATATCCAAAATGAAGCTCTTCAAGTTATCTATATGAAGGTCTTCCTTTCTGCCTTCCTGTGGGTAGTACCATCCATTTGACAGTTTCCCAGGCTGGAAACCTTAATCTTTTCCTTTGCCTTCATTCCTTAAAGCCATTCTGCTACCAAGTCTTATTATTCCTTCTTTGGAAACTCTTTTAGATTTGTCCTTTTCTCTCCATTCCCACCATCTTCAGTGTAACCGAAATCCTTTTCATATCCCAAGAGGCAGTGTTATGTATTGGTTAGGGTATTTGACTTGGAGTCAGGACATGAGTTCCAGTGCTGCCTCAAACACTCTCTGTGTGACTCTGATCAAGTCATGTGACTTCTCAGAATATCCATTTCTTTATTTGTAAAGTAAGGGGGTTGGACTAGTTGAGTTCTTGAGGTGTCTTTCAGCTCTAATTCTATGACCCTATGATCATCTGTAGTTTACCATAAGTTTCTGAACTGGTCTCTTGGATTGCATTTTTATAGTTTAATTCACACTGTTCTTTTTCCTGTACTTTATGTTCTACCAGATTGGTCTATTTGCTGGCCTCCATACTTAGCACTTTATCTTCTGCCTTTATGCCTTTGCACTGGCTAACCCCCAGCTACCTCACCTCTATTGAGAATCTGCTTTGTTCAAGGCCAGGTCATGTGACATCTCCTACAGAAAGCTCACCTCCTCCACAAATGTTCTGCATATCCCTAACATTGTATCTTTTCAGTTCAATATAAGATCCTTGAGGATAGGGACTGTTTTTATTTTGTCTTTGTATTCTCTGACCACAGCACAGTGTCCTTCACATAGTAGGTACTTAATTTGTTTGTCGAATTGGTTTGGACTGGAACACATGTAGCACATGTCGGATGGATTCATTTTCCCAAATAGTGGCTGTCATTAATCCCCTACTATTGAATATAGAATTAAACTCATGTGGAACACCTCCATTTAAATTTTCAGGCTATCCATCATCTGCCTTTAATACCCATGTTGATGGCAATTACTCTTGGCATACAGTAGTCTCAGCAGAACTAAAACTAACCTCAAAAGAGCAATGGAATGAAACATGAGCTCGAAGAGGGATGTATGGGTGTGTGTGTGTGTGTGTGTGTGTGTGTGTGTGTACATATATACATATACATCTATACACACACACAGACACACATGCACATATCTCAAATGCTGTCAGTGATGACTGGTACACAAGAAATCCCTAGCTTTGTGTGTAAACAGTCAGTATGTGTTTCTTGGAAATCATGTGACATATCCATGGTCTCTTAGCTTAGTAATTGTTGGGAGACAGGACTCAAACTTAGTTCACCCCTGATGTGTAATTCAGCACTCTTTTTACTGCCACATGCTGCCTGCTTGAATGCCTCCTGTGATGAGGAGCTCATTTTCTCACAAGCAGACCATTTCATTGTCAGAGAGCTCTAATGGTCAGATAAACCCTTCTTAGTGAATCTGGAATCTGTCTTGAAATTCAAATCTGGATCAGCAGAGAGCAAGTCTGGGAATATACATCTTCCAGCTTACGCTAGTAAATCAGTCAGTCAGAAAGCATTTATTAAGCACCTACTAGTTGTCTGGCATGATGCCAAGTGATGATACAAAGAAAGACAATGACAATCCTTGCTGTCAAGGAGCTTGCAGTCTAATGGAGCAAACAATATGCAAACTGGCATTAAGAGGGATTAGGAAAGGCTGCTTGTAAAAGGCGAAGTTTTCTCTGGGACATGAAGTTTTTCAAGTATTTAAAGACAGCTATCACCTGTCCTTAGTGTCTTGTTTTCCAGGCTAAATCACCAGCTCCTTAGATCATATGACATGATATAGTTTTAAATTCTCTTACCAAACTGCTCACCTCTCCACAGGATACCTGCTATATTCCCTCCCCCCCCCAATATTTCCTCAGTCTAATAGTGGTTTTTACAACTTTCCTCTTAAAAGTAGTACCTGGAATTAAATTCAATGCTCCAAAAGTGATTTATCTGAATAGTGCAAAGCATAGTAGGACTATTATTTCATGTGATTTTGACCCTACCCAATATATGATTAGGAAGGAATAAAAAGAATAATTCTACTTAGGGACTCAATTCAATATTTTGTAGTCACCACTCATGCTTAATTCCATATTCTTCCATTAATATATTACATTAGTTCTCTTCATAGCCACATCAAACTATTGGCTCATATCAAGCTTATATAACGTCAATGAAAAGCTCTTTATTTTAAACACAGAACACAAAACCAACTCTGCTACTAATCCAGGGCTCTCCAATTCTGTAGTTCTGAAATGGATTTTCTTGAACTTAAATACCAAACATTACATTTATCCTTATGCAATTTTATTTTGGTCATTTCAGTCCAGCATTAATAATTTCAAATACTTATTCTTATGAATTCGATTAGCTATCTCATTTAGCAGATTTGAATAACACTCCTTCTGTGATACAACAAGGTTAAACTAAGTTTTTGTTCAATATGCAACCAATTATCACTTAACAATTCACATTTACATTGTGCTTTAAGCTTGGCAAAGTTTAAATAACCTCATAATAACCCTGCAAAGTAGGTAGTGTAATCACTATTATTCCAGGTTTGCAGATAATGAAGCTCAGAGAGGTCCAGTGACACGTGTAAATTCAGGCAATTCCCAAGAGCCCTAAATAAACCACTCCACATTTGAATGCCTTTTCTCCACTGCTCAGTTAATTTATCAAAATACAGAAGAGTGTTTCATCAACAGCCTGCCTACACTAAGCCTTTTGTAGACTATTATTAAAGAAACATGGCTGGCTTGCCTGTTCTGCCAGAATCAGAATATAACCTCTGCCAGTTATTATCATAATGCAAAATACCTTTCGGGATTCTTTATACATCTGAAATGTGGGCATGGCTTTGACTTGACAAGAACAGGCCACCTCCTAGGAAAGAGGGAAAAAATGGTGGATGTCAATCACTAATGTATATCCCCTCTGTCTACAACAGGGCATCCTGTCCTTCAGATTACTCTTTACCGTATCATACTAAATGCCTTGAAGTAACCATGAATTATTGCCCGTAGGGACAGAAGACACTGTGTCCCGTTAGAGGGCTTGAACATATCTCTTCTGACAGGAAGTAGGACACTGTGACAGACTTTCTTGCCCTCTAGGAATTCCTTGCAGCTTGACAACCAAGAAACTGTGCCACTCATGTATTAATGCTTCAGGCATCTAGCAAACTGCCTTTCCACATGACAGGGTTAATATTGTGAGAAGCAACTAGGAGGGGAGACAGAGAGTTCCATTCTACCCAACCTTGTAAAGGTTTTCTAGGGTATACCTTATGTAGCCTTGAAATTAGTAAGAGGTGAGAAAAAAATTTAAGATTTCTTTAGAACACATACAAGTTCTGTAATAATACCAAATATTCATAGAGCATGCATACTTTCTCATTTGATCCTTACAACCACCCTGTGAGGTAAGAAGCAAAAGTGTTATTGTCTCTTCCCATTTTATAGTTATGAAAAACTGAGGCTCAGAGCTTCTATTGAGCCAATACTATTTGAGCAGTTATAATGGATAAAATACAGACTCAACATTTTACATAAGAATGACAAATTTGTTTATTTCAAAGAGCAAATCAAATGCCATTCAGAGTTATGAGTTTCTGTTGGTTCAAAAACTGAATAGGAACAAGGGATATTTTTTACTTAATTCTCACTCTAATTATAAACGTAATAAGTTCTCCCTTCTTCTAGATGAAAACAGACTTAAGTTTATGTTCAGCAGTGTTAAAAAAAAAAAACTAACAGGGGCAGCTAGGTGATGTAGTGGGTAGAGCATCTGCTGTGGAGTCAGGAGAACCTGACTTCAAATCCAGCCTCAGACACTCACTAGAATAGGTGACCCTAGGTAAGTCACTTAACCATGATTACCTCCAAAAACACCAAAGCAAACCAAAACAAAAATAAGTAAGTAAATAAATAACAGCAAATTACCAGAAATACTTGGAGAAGAAAGCTGGCCTCAAAGGCAAGAAGATAGTCTACTTTGAGTGTGTGGGGGTTTGTGTTATAGCATCCAAATTGACAAGTACATATATGATAATCTGAGGAGAAAGAATTGGGTATTAACAATTGAGGGGATTAAGATGCAACTCATGACCTGAGACTTAGAACAAAGCCAGGGATTTTAAGAAGGAGGAGAGCGTGTAGGACAGGCCTGATGCAAAAAATGGAATGTCCAACACAGGCAATAGCTATCAGGCAACCTTGACTGGAAATGGAGAGTGTATGAAGTAGGGGGTAATATAAAATAAGGCTGAACTTATAGGTGGGGGCTAAATTGTGTAGGGCTTGAAATGCCAGGCTGAGAATTTGTATTCTAATCTACAGGCAATGAAAAGATTGATTTGAAGGTTTTTTGACATTGTCAGATCGTTTATGAATATCAAATTGGCAGCTATAGCTCAATCAATACACATGTATTACTCAGTCAGTTACGAAGCATTGGTTAAGTGCCTACTATGCACCAAACACAGTTCTAAGTGCTAAGGATACAAAGAAGAGCAAAAAACAAAAACCAAACAAAACAAAACAAAAAAACCCCAAAACACACAGTCCTTGTTCTCATGGAGCTCACACTCTGATTGGGAGACAACATGAAAACAACTGTACAAACAAGTTATATGAAGGATAAATTGGGAATTATAAACAGAGGGAAGGCAGTAGAATTAAGAAGGATTTGAGAAAGGCTTCATGTAGAATGGAGGCAGACTGGTCCTTGAGGGCAGGGAAGATTTCTTTTGTTTTGTATTTGCAACTTTTGTACCTAACACAAAGTGTTGAATTGAATTGAATCTTCATCATGTTAGCAACTGCAGATGTTCAACCAAATAAACTCATCAGAAGAGAACATTTTGGCTTTCACTCAAATGGCTAAGGGTGCTGGTAGGAGCACAGGCTGAATGGGTAGTACTTGATTTGGCTGACTCTGAGGGAAATGAAGATGTTTCCATTGAATGGTTGGTCTTGCTGCAAGTAGTTTGAAATATGATAACCCTTTTGCATCCTAACCAGTTATGTTAGTGACTTTTAGAGATGCCAAATGATTTCACAACCTTGGTTGATTAATGAGTCACAGATGATGAGTCAGCATGCTTTCACAAAATGTACTTGGTTCTTTTATTTTGATTAGAATAATTCATTGTAAATCATTGATCAAAATTTTTTCCACGTAAAATTAATGGATATTAAGCAGGATATTTTTTTTTAATTTTTTTATTTTTAACATGTTTTTAAAAGGATATTTTTAAAAAGACATTGTGTATCACTGAGACCTCTCCATGGTTCTCTAATATTACATTTTTGATGAGAAGATAACATTAGCTTTTGTACAGGGACAAGAATTCGAAAAAATGGTTAAAGAATATTGAAAAAAAAATCTTCAAAATTGTATAAAGTAAATACAGTGAGAAGCTAACACTCCTCTTCCCGTTCTCTCCTCCCTTTTTCCTGCCCTGCCATAGGGCAGGATGTGGTAAAAATAGTTTTGTCTCTGTTGCAATATCCTAGGATTTAAAGCATAGAAGCATAATAAATATATAGCAAAATGTGAGGCAGCATGGCCTAGTGGATAGAGAGTGGCCTCAGAACCAGGAAAATCTGGATTAAAGTCCTGCCTCTGACACATAAAGCCGACTGTGTAACTCCGGGCAGGCAACTTAACCTCTTAGTGCTCTAGGCAACTCAGTAAGACTGTACATTACCAAGAAGGTGCCAACCTTCCTTGGTAGAGGGGGTGTCCTCACCCATGAAATCACATGGGTGAGGAAGGCCGCTATCCTTATGTAGTACAGCATATATCTAAGCACTACAAGAAGTTTTCATTACAGTTTGATAAAGGATGAACTAATACATTTCCATTGCAATTAAAACTAATTACTAACTGAACCTCACTTCCCACAGGGTAATGTGTTTAATCTAGTTAGACTAGTAACTAGTAATTAGGATGTTTAGGAGGAGAAATGAATGGGGGGAGGTGGGAACATAAGAACTGTCTTCAAGTATTGAAGGGCTTTCAAGAGGAAGAAGGATTTGACTTTTCTGCTTGACCACACCAAGCAGGGCTATGAGCAAAAGGTACAAGTTGAAAAAGGAAAATTCAGGCTTAGTGAGGTGGTGGTGGGGAGATTGTTCCCTAATAAAACTTCTAATATATCCAAAAGTATAACAGGTTGCTTTGGGAGAGAAGTAGGTCACCCTCCCCTCCTCCAGTGGAGGTCTTCAAGTAAAGAATGGATGAGTTTGTGTAGAAAGGATGCTTTTTTTTTTTTAGCTTTGGACCACACTGAGATTCTGTGAATTCATAACATGTAAGGCAAAGTATTCAGTTGGACATTATTCTGGGGGAAGGGTGGGGGTTAAATATCTCACCGCTGCAACATCCACATCCACATTGGCAAATACTACGTTTTCATATCGCATAGCCATTTCCTTAAAAATAAAATGGAAGAACCCACAATTAGTACACTGCAAATTTATATCAACAAGTATCAGTGTTTACAGGGGCTTTTTTAGCATAAATCAACCAAATGACCTTAAGGAGTCAATCAGTAGTCAATAAGCATTTATTAAGCACCTGAATGTGCCATGTATACTCTAAACTCTACGGATACAAAAAAAGGCAAAAGACAGTTCCTGCCCTTGAGGAGTTTACAATCTACTATACACAACTCTGATACTTCAGTGCTATCTAGTCCAGACATACTTCCCAGGAATGACATAGCTCTCTCAGGGCATTGTTATGACAAGACACACTGAACTTTTAAACCAAAGTGTCATTCAGTGTGTGTTCAGGTTCTAGAGTGAGTGCCCGGGGATCTGGAGTCAAGTTCTGACACCACTACTAGTCAGCTGATTTAAACCCACATGGATCGCTCTTTACAATGATTTCCTTTGACACTATTGTCTCTACTATTCCCTTTGATGATTTGCCGTATAAAAATATTTGCCATAAACCTTGCATTGTGGTATGGCTACATCATATTAGGATGTCTTGCTCCTCCAATGAGATTAGGAGGTCTCATACATCACATACTACGTGTTAGATGGTTTTTGTATACCTCATAACATCTAACTCAGCAGTAGGTGTCTGCTCTGGTGCAGCCTGGCAAGGAGGGACTCCCACCCTTATTGCTGGGAAGAAAAGGATAGACTCAAAAAGGCAAGCAGTCAGCTCATCCACACATTTCCTGATCTAGTGTTAACTTCTCCATCTGAAATTGCTGTTTCTGCACCCAGTTTCCTATTTCCCATTCTGTCCCTTGGATTTTGGTGAATGGGAGAAGCTTTGGTTTCCACACAACTTGACCATTGATTTATGCTTGGCAAGACTTTGTTTTAGACCTTGTCCCTCTTTTTCTAGTAGAGGATTTCCAACACCTCAACAACTGCCCTAATCACTAGGGTAATAGCCCTAATCTCTTGTCCCCTTCATCCCCACTCTCCCCCCAACCCCTCCTCCCCATGACACAGGAGGTTAAATCAATGTGCATTGAATTGAATGATGGGATCCTGTTTCCTTGATAATTTGGGATAATATTGGCATCTGTTTTCTTTCTTTTTATGTTTTAATGTTGCTTCCCCCCACACACACACAGTTGTTATTTCACAATATTCTCCCCTCCCTTAATCTACCACCTCTCTATTGAGGGGAAGGGAATATATTTCATCATTAGTCCTCTAAAATAATGAATGGCCCTTACATTATGAATCTGAATTTGATGTCATTGAGTGTTTTCCATATATTGTGTATGTTGTTCCCTCAGTTCTACTTATTTCACTCTGCATCAGTTTATACAAGTGTTGCCAAATTTAATTGAACTCCTCATATTCATTTTTTATTAGGGCACAACAATATTCTTTTACATTCATATACCACAATTTATTTCAGCCAGTCCTCAATCAATGGGCACCTGATTTGCTTCTAGGGTTTTTGTTTTGTTTGTTTTTTGTTTGGTTGGTTTTTTTGCTATCACAAAAGCATCTCACATCATTCAAAGATTTTCAGGGTCTGGAGGATAATAGATTTTTTTTGGTTTATGATAGGTCTTAGCATATAAATTGACCTTGTAATGTTAAAAAAAAAAAACCTCTCCCAACTTAATGTGAACTTCTCTGCTTGCAGTGGAGCCCTGCCCATCTGAAGCAGTTTTCTAAAGACGATGTTTAAGTAGGTGCTGATGGGTAGAGGTGACTACCGGGTGAAGCAGGAGCAGGAAGGGAGAACCTGAGATAATCTTCTAGGACAAAGGTTAACCTATGTGATGGTACAGGTTAAAACCCCAACTTCATGAAGTGTTACCTTTCCCAAGTATTTAGCTTTCTCTTCCTGGTTAGACACCATGTTAATTACACTATAAATGGTATTATCCTTAAAAATACTTTGAAATGATCCCGTTGTTGACAAATTACTACTGAGACAGCAAGTACAGTATCAAGGCTGGCATCATTTGTTCGACGATTCACAAGGGAGTAGGGAAATTACACCATCCAATCTCTCATGCCTAGAGGCCTTAAATAGTAGGATTGCAGCATATTTAGGGGAATAGATTTCACTTCATGGTCAATAGGATGGATGGGAAAAGCTTTTTAAAAAATTAAGTGGAGGAGGCTGGCTTTCTGATCAGGCACATTCAGCTCCTACTAAGTTCAATTAAAAAAGTCAAATTGAATCAGCAAGCACTTAAGGGCCTGGGACTTAGCCAACACAGTTTTTTCCCTTGAGAAATCATCTGGGAAGATTCATGTGTCATAAAGGAAATATTGTCCCTTAAATTTTTCTTCTTTTGACCACCACCCATTGTCAGAAGACACAAAAATGTACAAGAGAGTGAGGCTTAGTCAGGACTGTTCTGTCAAGCATTGCTCTTTCTCAGTCTCTTAGTAGCTATAGCAAGTCTCAGAGGAGTGTCTTTTCTATTTAAAATGACTGGTTGCCCAGCAACCCAGCAAGGACAGCTGTGGCACCTGTTTACAAAGCCCTAAGTAGACCAAAGGCTTGTATTTGTTTCTGGTTGGTGTGTTTGTTTTTTAAATCACTGTTGTTGCACTGTGTCCTTCTTTATACATTGATATAAACCATCATATTTCCCTTCTGTTCTCTCCCACCACCACTAGCCTAGTTCAGGTACTCACCACTAAGAATAATATTTTTAATTGATATTTTCTGTTTCTTACATCATCAGAGTTATCCCAACTATCCTCCCTCCCAGAGAGCAATCTCATGTAATAAAATAATGTTTTTAGAGGGGGAAAAAAAGTCAGCCCAACTGATTGATACATTGAAAAAAGTCTGAAAATGTGCAACATGTAATATCTGTAGACCTCCCACTTCCATGAAGGGTTAGGTTGGGAACAATATTCTTTTAATCAGTCTTCCCATATTCATCCTCTCCCTGGTCTAATCTTCCACACAGCTGCCAAATCATATTCCTAAAGCAATGTTCTGACAAGGTCACTCTCTTGCTCAAGAAGCTTCAGCACTTCCCTGTTAATTGTTTCTCTTTGTCATTTAAAGCCCCTTACAGTCAGACTTCCAGGCAGAGCAACACATACTTCTTCATGAACCCTACATTCCAGTTGAATTGGCCTAAGAGCCAGCCAGTTCATGCCATTTCATCTTCTGCCAATATGTCTTTACATAGGGTGCGTGCTCCTTGCCTGGATTGTTCTCACTCTTCACATCTGCATCTTGGAAACCATTCTATCTCCCTTAGAGTTTCAGTTCAGGGGCCATTTCCTATAAGAAGCCTTTCCTAATTCTACCTGGTAGTGCCTCCCTTCTAAATTACTCTTTTGCATATAGTTTGAATCTAGCTATATGTTTACATTGTCTCTGTGTCCCCAGTAGAGTGTAAGCCTGGCTAGGGAAAGGCATCATGAAGGTTTAGCCAGAATCTTTAGACCAGAGACTGGTTTAGAATTCAGTGCTTAAACTGTGGGTTGTGGTCTTGAAAAATTTGGCAACAGTAAAAGGTTTCTGAGCACACAAGGACCAAAAATAAATTAAAAATCAAACACGTAATGAATCCAAGGCGTTTCTGGCAGCACTTGCCCATGTTGCATTGAGCAAATTCATTGCACTTTGCACTGTGCATGCCCTCAGGCCATGCAATGCCAACGAATGCTCCAGTGGAAAAAGTTTAAGAAGCCCTGGTCTAGATGACAGTGTAAGGCAGAGTAGGAGGGGAAATTTTGCCACAAAGAGCACAGCTAGCCAATACACACTTACATGTTCCAGTCTGAACAACTATTTCTATTCTGTTCTAATCTGTAGATTAAGGATGAGAAAAAGATGGCTCCAAGTGTCCAAGTTACAGGAAAAGACAAAGGAGAAAGAAGGCTATGAGTTCATGAATGGTTGAATAAATGAAGCATTTATTAAATGACCTCTATGTGCAAAGCAGTGTGCTAAGTGCACATTTTGGAGATGTTTGAAAGGCCATGAAGACAGGAGAAAATGTCTAGTCCTCCATCTTTCTGGTCACATGACCCTGAGCTACCTATGATACAATCAATGTGAAATATTCAGTAGGCAATTGGATATGCAGGACTAGAGCTTAGGAAAAAAAGATTAGATAAGGCTGGTTATATGAATCTGTGACTCATCTACATAGAAGTTTTAATTGAAGAGAACAGAGTGTAGGACAGAGATTTGGGTATGTTATGGATGATAATGCAGCATAGGAGACTGAGAAGATGTAGTCAGGTAGGTAACAGGAAAACCAGAAGAGATTAAGTGGCACTATAACCTAGAGAGGAAAACTGTATACAGGAAAGAAGAGTAATCAGCAGTGTCAAATGCTGCAGATAAGTCGATAAGGATGAGGACTGAAATGACATTATTCAGTTTGGCAATTAAGAGATCATTGGAAAAACAACAAATACTGGAGGGGATGTGGAAATATTGGGATACTAATGCACTCTTGGTGGAGTGATCCAACCACTCTGGAGAGCAATTTTAAACTATGCCCAAACAGCTGACCAATAAAAAAAGCGGTAAGGTGTAGCTGATAGAATGCTACCTTTAAAGTGAAGAAAACTTAAGGTTCACAAATACTACTAATACCTATGTTGACAATTTACTAAACCTCTCTGAGGCTCAGGTTTCATCTGTAAAATGATGGGTCTAGGCTCTGTGGATCAAGGTCCCTTCTGCCTCTAATTATATGATCCTACAAAAGTAATATACATTTACATAGCAATTTCAGGTTTGCAAAATACTTTACATATGCTATCTCATTTGACTCTCACAATAATCCTGTGTAGTGGATGCTATAATTATCCTTATTTTACAGATGAAGAAACTGAGGTCAGGAAACATTAAGTGACTTGGCCAGGGTTCTTCCTAACTCCAAATCTATCCATTGTGCCACCTAGCACATATTAGTTTATAAATCTGTTTTTTCTTTAGGGAACCAACAGGCTACTATACTGTATCAGTCCTAAGTTTTTACACTCTTCTCTCCGAATCAGCAGTTTTAATCTTTTAAAAAAAATTTATTTTGATAACTGTATTTCAATATAATAAGTTCCCTTTGTAATTCTCTGTATCTTATTTTATGTATTTAAAAACATTATTCTGAGGAGTCCACAGGCTTCATTAGATTGCCAAAAGGGCCCCTACAAGACACACAAAAAAGGTTAAGAACTCCCTCTCTAAAGCTTTCTCCTGGGACTGTTGGGAAGGATACTGTTGATACTGGCTAAGCTTCTCAGGTTGCATTCCAAATCAGTTACTCCATTCTTTGTCTTCTCCACCCCAATTTCTTTTTCATTACTCTGTTTATGAAGATCAGGGGTGGTCTTTTTAAAGAGGAAGTGCAGGGAAGTGTGAATCATGCAGACCATTCCTCTAAAGAGGGCATCTGGTCCAAAAAAGGTCCAAAAAAGACCTCCCCAGAGTCAGGGGCTGGTCTCTCTGCATTGGCTTTCTGGGTTAACATACCACAAAGCACACTGGTTCCTGATGGAGAGGAGTGGTTCTTTTAGCAATCTGAAATCACTGTAGGGAAGTATTCAAGGGCTTGACTCTTTCACACACTGCCTCTTAAATTTGTGGAATATGAAGCTGCAGTGAACCTGGCCCTTTGGAGATACAGTATTTGTGTTCTCAGAATCAAGTCACATTGCAGATGTCTCTTATAAACTGGTTCTGCAACTAAGAAACCCACGGATGAAAGTGGAGAGCAGTTCAGTACATTAGTATCAGCCTTCCTGATAGACATAGAATCTTAGGGCAGGTAAGGTTCTTGAAAAGTCATTTAGGAAACTATCTTTAAAAAAATGTGTATCCTTATCAGTAAAAAATGGAGGTCCATGCACTACCACCCCAAATCTGCATATTTATTTATAAGTTACATGAACATTCATACCAATATATTATATATATTATATTTAAAATACAGAATGGTGTGGATAGAGAGAAAGCCAGAAAGATCTGGGTTCAGGTCCTGCTGGTGACATTTCTAGGTAGCTGTGTGACCTTGAACAGGTCACAACGTCTCAGTGCTTCAGACAATTCTTTTAAGACTGTATGTTTCAGGAATTTCCTCATTTGGGAGTTTGCAATGAAATCACAAATCCAGTCTCTATCCTTATAAAATATATATAACACAATGTAGATATTTAAAAGGATGAGATAAAGATTAAATATTTTAATTTTAAAATATTGTTATACAACATTTTTCTCTCACTAAAATGTATGTTTAATAAGAGCTGTGTGATTGAATATGCTTCAGCATTTAAAAAAAATCATTGCTTTGTGATACAGTGATTCAAAGATCTGGCTCTAAATGCATTTTATTTGAATGCTTGGTTTTAATGGCTGTCCCAGGTACTACATAAAGATGTAGATCCAAATGAAAGAAGTCTGTTATTACAGTTGTGCTTACTAAATCATGATATTTATTTTTCAATTCCACCCACGAATTATACGAAGACTTTTGTTGAAATTCTGCTAGTAAATTTCTGTCTTCCTTGGGGTGTGTGTGTGGTGGGGGGGGGGGTTAGTCAGATCTCACTCAGGTCTGGAGGGTAGCTTTTTCAGGTGGGGAGAATAGAGAGCCCCAAGGGAGAAGGCAAGATGCCCTGGTTTCCTGGTGATGGATGAGCTTTGTTTCTCTCCAAACTGTTGGATGGATTTGTTTGGATATTGGGGGCAGGATTGCATATTTGAGAGGGTTCTGTGGTGGGTTATATGAGCCCCAAGTTCTTTGGTGGGGGCAGCAGCTTCAACAGCAGCTGCAGCAGCTTCAACTGCCACACCCCTCCCTCTCACCTCTGGCTAAATGCTGTTGTCATGGTTCCCTGTTACTGCTATTATCTGCTTTGCTCAGACTCTCCTTGCTGAAGGGCTTGGTCAGCTGCTGTGAGCCGCCCTTATTCTGTGGGTGGGGGAGATGCAGGAAGTAATTTGTATCCTCAGGAAGCATGTCTGGCTTTGGGGGCCCTTAGAGGACTCCTGAACGATTAGACCCATTTTATACTATGTTGTGAAGCATATCCATCCCTGAGGATGTGAGGATGGATATCCATCATATCATCCCTGAGGGTGAGGCACAGGAAAGGAAATAATACAATTTTTTTAAAAAAGGCAAACAAAAAAAAAGGGAAAATAACCTTAGCTCCTGGGTGCCCAGGTTAATGACTCTCAGGGAGGCAGGATTTCCCAATTTCCATTGCTCCCAGGACCCTACCAGGAGTTCTAGCAGTTTGTTTTCTACCTCTCCTGGGGGTGGAGTATAGTGTGTGTGAGAATAAAACTTTGTTCCATCCCCTCCTGAGAGTGAGGCCCTAGAAGACTCTCAGCTACAGGAGAAGCAGGGTCTCTCTGTCCCTGTCACACTTCACAGTTCCTGGGGTGAGGGTGGTATGCAGAGCCTTGGCCATGGGATACAAGGTATGTGTGTTGCTGATGTAATGGAGACAGGGTAGGGAAGACATGGATGGATGGGGACTTTCCCAAGTGCTTTCCTGCCTGCCTCTTGGCTTGGGGAGAAATGCTCATGGCTGGCTGACCTTCCATCAGACAGACAGATAAAGGAGGGCAGCAGTCAGGCAGCAGCTGCAAACAACAGCTGTGCTGCTCTGCTCAGTTCTAACATATTCTTCATACACACCCGCTTATTACTCCCTGGTATCTGTGCACCCCACCTTGGAGTCAAAGCCTGGCCCATTAGAAGAGATATGAGGACTCACCTTCCTCTTTTCTTCGCCAGGGTCAAAGTGAGGGTTTGGGGCTTTGGACATCATGGATGTGACAACCTACATATACTATCTGGTTTGGTCAATATGTTGGTTAATTTTACTCAACTACTTTTTCCTCTTTTGTAATCTTTGTTACAAGGGATGGCTTTCTAAGTGGTGGTAATAGGGAGGGATATATTTGGAGATGAAGGTGATTAAAAAAAAACTTAAAGGTTTCCATTTTTTTTTAAAGGTCATCTGGGCTATCCCTCTGTCTTCAGGGAAGATCACTCAAATTTTTCTCAAGAGAAGCGTCTGAAGCCTAAGTTTATCCATCTCCAGGGAAGGAAATTCTATTCCTTCCCCTCTTTATGACCTTTGTCTATAGCCCTAGTCTAGTATTTTATAGCATTTCTTTTGGGGCTCTGCTAAAACCTCATTGTTTCAATTTGAAGGAAAGGGAGAATAATTCATCAGTTCATGTAGTATCTTTACGTCTTATATTTCTTTGCAGAAATTTTCCTTGAAAAGCAACATTAAATTTGGAGTTATTTGCCTTCACCCCCATCAAAGTGGCTAAAATACCCCAAAGTGACATGGCCTTTGACTCAGCTATTTAATCTAGGAATTCACTGCCAAGGAGCTCAAAGAAAGAAAAAAGTCCCAAACCTCAAAGTATTTCTGGCAGCTTTTTTTGTGATAGTAAAGACCTGGAAACGAAGCAGATGCCTATCTATCGTGGAATGGCTAAACAAATGGTGGCACATTAATATAGTGGAATATTTGCCATAATAATATCAAAAGTGAATTCAGAGATGTATGGGAAGACATATGAATTGATGCAGAGTAAAGAAGGTAGACCCATGAAAACAATATACATGAGGACTACAACAAAGTAATAGGAAAGAACAACAAAAAGAAATTAAATGCTGTGTAATTATAGTCAAATTTTGCCCCATAGCAGAATTTAGAAAATGCACCTCTTTTCCTGTTTTGCAGAAGTGGACCTCTATGAGCGTGGAATATTGGATATACTGGCATACTCAGCTGATACACTGGTAAGTTTTGCTGAACTTTTTTTCTCTTCCTTTATTATTATTTTTTAAAATAAGAGATGACTTGTTGAGTAGAAGAGGTATGTTTGGAAATGAATGTGAAGTAAAAACAAAAAAAAATTTAATAAAAATAATACAATTTTTTAAAAAAAGAAATAAACAAAAAAAGGAAACACAACTTTAACTACTGGGTATCCAGATTAATGACCTTATATCTTAACTTGGAACATGGTGTATTTTACTGAGTTCTAATTAATCAGTCAGACGACCAACAAATGTTTATCAAGCATTCTTCTAGGTACTAGGCACTGTGCTGGTGTGTGCTGAGGATATAAAGACAAAAGTGAAAGTCTCTGTCCTCCAGGAGCTTATATTACAGTAGCAGAAATGCTGCAGAAAACCAGGTTCAAAATGACAATACAAATTTTTCAAATGTCCAGATCTCAGAAGTGGCAAGGAAAAATATATATGTTTATATCAAAGGTCTTTAAATCTCCTTTAAGAATTTAGAAGAGAAGGGGCAGCTAAGTGGCGCAGGGCATAGAACTCTGGTCTTAGAGTCAGGAGGACCTGAGTTCAAATCCAGCCTCAGACACATGACACTTACTAGCTGTGTGACCCTGGGCAAGTCACTTAACCCCGGTTGCCTCACCAAAAAGCAAGAAAAAAAAATTTAGAAGAGAGGTTGGTGATACTTACATGAACAACAGGACCAATTCTTTTGCATGGACCACACCATTTTGCTGAGAAGTCAACGACAACAAGTTTGGAACCAGCATTCTTCAGAAAGTTCTCAAATTCTCTCTGAAACAAGCACATAAATGAGGAAATGTGTTTAGTATCTATACGTGAGTTGCAGAATCAAGGAACTAGAGGAAAGGACCTTTGTTGTTCAGTCGTTTCAGTCATGTCTGACTCTTGGTCCCCATTTGGGATTCTCTTGGCAAAGACACTGGAGTGGTTTGCCATTTCCTTTTCCAGCTCATTTTACAGATGAGGAAACTGAGGCAAACAGGGTTAAGTGACTTGCCCAGGGTCACACAGCTAGTAAGTGTTTGGGGCCAGATTTAAAGTACAGGAAGATGAACTTTCTTGACTCCAGGCCCGATGCTAGCTGCCACTAGGGAAAGAACCTTAGAGATCATTATCTTACAAACGAGGAAACTGAGGGCTACAAGGTAATATGACCTGCCTAACATCACATAGATAATAAACTCATAATTTTTGTACCTGTTGTCTACCTCAATAGGATGAAAAAAGCCTTATGTAAATGTCTGGCACATAATAGGTGCTTAATAAATGCTCATTAGTAGCAGAACGGAGCCTAAAGCCGTCTCCTTATTCCTACTGGCGTGCACTATCAACTGCATGACACAGCCACAATTTTGCAGAAAAGATTAATAATAAAATTTTTGCCTTCTAAAATTTTCACTGGTTTCCCTCATGCTTGTCAAATGGACCAGCTACCAGCATATAGGAGAGGTCTAAAAAAGAACAGAGCTAATGCTTTGGGTCATTCATGTATTTATTTTTTGTACTATCATGTAAATGGCAGTTAATAAAAAGCATAAATTTGAGCATTTTTCCCAGGACTCATATGTGTTTTAATTGAATATGTGAACTTGGAGAAGAGGCATTTTTAAAAACATGTACTAAAGCCCAATGAACTCCTTTTGATTGGCATTCCTAATTAATAAATGACCTTTGCTATAGTATAAGCCAAGTTTCCTTAACTTTGATGAGTTTTACATAGATCCAGGGAACAAAAGGCCCTAACCCTTCCTAGCAATGTAGTTTCCCAAAGAAATCAGGAGAATATGAAACTAAAAAAATGGGTAAAAACCAGAAACAATAACCCTCTATTTCCTATTTTCTAGGGCAGAGACCAGCGATCTTTCAGAGATAGTATTCAAAACATTCGTTTGTTCACTTTTTCAAAGGGACAGAACATGGTAGTTACTGGCAAATTAGATGGCACAGTGGATAGATAAATAGTGTGCCAGGCCTGGAGTCAGGAAGGCATCTCCCTGACTTCAAATCTGACCTCAGACACTTGCTAGCTTTGTGACCCTGGGCAAGTCACTTAACCTTGTTTGCCTCAGTTTCTTCATCTGTAAAATGAACTAGAGAAAGAAATGGCAAACCAACTTTCAGCTTTGCCAAGAAAACCCCAAATGACGTCATGAAAAGTTAGACATGACTGAAAGGACTGAAAACAACAACAGATATCCCTTGAAGTGGAAGAGAACTTGGTAGAGGTCATTGGCAAAATAATTGTAATCAACATTACCGCCAGGAGATGGTTTTTAGAGTCTTGGAATACTAGCAGTAAAGAGAGTCAACAGCAGGGACTAGGATTTTGAAAATAGATCTTTAACATTTGCACCAAAAGTTTTTGAGCTCTGTCAATTAAATTTGAAGAATATTTGTTATTTATTATTATTAGAAGAGGCAGTGTGCTATAGTGGATAGGGGACCAGCCTTGGAGACATGAAGGCCTATGTTTAAGTCCTGACTGTCTAATTATTTAAGCACTTTAAATGTATCATCTCATTTGATTCTCACAGCAGCCTTCCCAAACAAGTACTGTAGATATTATTATTGCCATTTGAAGCTGAGACTAAGAAAAGTGATGTGGCTTTCCAAGGGTTACACAGTTAAGAGTAAGTACCTTAGTCTATATTTGAATTTAGGTCTTTCTGACTCTAAGTCTAACACCACACCTACAATGCCATAATAAATAGTAGCTGGGTAGGCAAAGGCTAGTCATTTAACCTTTCAGTGGTTCAGGCAACTCTCTAAAATCATAATTTACAGATGAATGTCTAATCTGCACAGATGAAGGGATTTTCCAAACTGGGAGTTCTCACACACTAGTGAAATCATAGATCCAGACCCTTCCTGCCCCCACTTTTTTTTTTTAATTTGAGAGGTACTATGCTAGGCACTGGGGTTACAAAAAGTAAATGTGAAATACACACCATCTCAAAGAGCTTACAAGTTAATTAGAGATGGGAATGGGGGAGTTTGAGGAGAATGGTGGTAATTGTGGTGGTAACAGGGAAAAGATGCATTCCAATAACCATAGTATGAAAGAAAGATCTAAGTGCTTTGAGAAATTTGAAGATAAAAGGATCACTTTTAGCTGGGGGGAGAAAAGCAAGATTTAACTAAGTTTTGCCTTAACCCTTGAGCTAATGGTCAGTGGTTATGTATTTGATACAGTAGGAACTTGGATAAAAAATAAAAAGAAGAAAACAAAATTACTATTGGATAATTAGCCTGTGGAATAATTTTTATGGGAACCATTTCTTCTGGACAGTCTATCAAAAGTAAATGTACAATGGAAAAAATGTTGGGTCTGGAATCAGAGGACCTGTATTTGAATGCTGCCTTTGACACTTATTACCTGTGTGACTTTGAGCAAGTTGCTTGTATGCCCCACGCCTCAGTTTCCTTATTGACTAAAGGAGACAGTTGGACTGAATGGTTTCTGAGGTTCCTGCCAGCTCTAGTTTCTGTGATTTTATGCTACTATGATCTTTGCTGCCTAACTAATAGCTTTGCAATGGCATTCAATTCAATTTAAAAGATATTTGAGGCCTCCTGTGCATTTCCATGAGAATCATTGACTACTGCACTAGGAAAGCATCCCTAAGTCTATCAAGTGTCCTTCTCTTTTCTCTTTTGCAGGGCACCCAAAGTAAAGGTCTTTAAGAAACAGCTGCTCAAGCCAAATACTTACCATATTTTTAATGCTCTGCATAGTGATTGCCAAGGGAAACAAACTGCAGGCTAAGTTTGCTCACTGCTTCCAACACTGGCAATTGTAGGCTCCTTGTTAAATAGTCAAGCTTGAGGTTTCTGTGACATCACACATATGTCATCTTAGAACCTAGAACTTCAGTGGACTGTGGATTCATTTTACTGTTTTGCTGTGACTTGGCTAAGTGGGGCTCAAAGAAGGTCTTTCAATTTCTATTTCAGGCTTTCTTGAAGGCCTCAGCAGTAGCCAAGGCCTGACCAACTTTCCTAAAACCTTCCTATGTCCTGGGAAGTGAATGAATAAAAGTGAGAAAATGGTTCACACATCATAGGATTCTTTTTGCAGTTGAGACACACACCCTAAAGTCATAATTATAGTATATAATAAGATTTCCATGGTATTATGACTCAAACATAGACCTCCTGTAGAAAGAATCTCACTATTTTACTCAAAGTTGTTTAACCGAAAAGGGAACTGTTTTGACAATGCTTTCAATTTCTCAGAACTCATTGAATGTTAGAGAAATATGAAAGGAAGCTAACTCTTTTCTGATTGTTATAAGATTTTCCACAGATGATAGACAATATGGTTGGAACATATTTGGCTCAGAATTATGAAATTCTGAACTTTGGCTCCAAAAAGCTTGAAGTATTTTTGAAAGATTCAAATGCCCAGAAGAAACACCTTTGCCCGTAATGACAGCTCTAGTAATGTCTTTTGAATGCTTTGTTCATAACCTTGAGAGGCTATCTGTTCTTATTTAAACCAAAAGCTCCTATTTTCATCTCCAGGATTGGAGATTTTCTCTACACTGAGCTGCTTTTGACCTAAGATGCAGCCATAACACCAAAATTACACTTTACTACTCACCTTGGCCTCTTCTGACACCTTTATCTGTTTGGGAGATTCTGAGAAGTGAATCTTGGTGCTCCCAAATCATTTAAGACTAGTCAAGATTCATTCTCAGATGAAGCAGATTTTTTTTCTTTCTTTTTTTAAAATAGTATTTTACTTTTTCCAATTACATTATAAAGACAATTTTCAGCATTCATTTTTTATAAGATTTTGAGTTCCAAATTTTTTCTCCCTTCTTCCCCTCCCCCTCCCCAAAAAGGCAAACAATCTGATATAGCTTATACATGTGCAATCATGAAAAACATGTATGAAGCAGATTTCTACAGCAAAGGTATGAAACACATGGCCCAGAACACTCCCAAGTGTGTCAGAACCAGATTAAAATGTAATTGGGAAATATTTGACAAAACAAATAAAAATATAACAAAACATAGGTAATGTTAATATGTGGTTTTCTAAGTCAAGATATGGTCCTCAGAGTCCCTATGTATAATTTAGTGGCCTCCATTTCTATTGGGCTGTCAGCTAGATTGGAACTGGCTTCTAACCTGTGGGTGGCTGGAGCCAAACAGAGCAGGCTAGAGACAAGAGAGTCAGGACACAAACAGAAGTTTAATTAATTTCAGAGTGAGGAAAATGACATATGCACATGGGAACCCCCCCCCCCGCTCCCAAGAAGGAAGCTTAAGGCTGCTGATGCTGGGGCCACTTATATACATGAAAGGGTTGGGCCCACAACACAGTTATTCTTAGATCTTGAGATAGTTCTCCTGGTTGGCATTTCTTGGGACAATACAGGCATTCTTGGGTCCCGTAGTAACAGTCATTGTCTTATGTCTTAGGGATTGTGGCCACCCTGCCAGGTATAGAAACAGGAGTACAGTACCTGTCAGTGACAAGTAACAGGGATTGTGAACATGTGAAGGATGGCCCTGGGAAATAGAAGGAGCTAAATTCCTCAGTGAGCACCTGGTGCTGGTCTAAGCAATATACTTTGCCAGAGGGTGATGTCATGCTGAGCGCAAAGGATTATTGTTATGCCTTGTTCAGGGCACAGCCTGCTTGTTAGGCCTTAGCTCTGGAAAACAGGCTATCTCCAAAATATTTTGACAGGGTTTGACACCTCTGGTCTGTGAGATAGGAACCTTCTTTCCACTTTTAGAACAATGCCTGGTGACTAAATGACTCCAAAATTATGTCCCCTCCCCCCATTAGTGCACATCAGGTATTTTTTTGGAAACCAAGCAGAATACAAAAACTGTGTAGCCAGGTTATGAAGGGTTTTAAATCCGAAACAGAAGAGTTTGTATTTGATGCTGGATTGAATAGGGAATGACCTGTGCTTTGACCATATCTTTGTCAGCTGTGTGGAGGACATAGAGAAATTTGAGGCAGGGAGACCAATTAAGGGCTGTTGCAATAGTCCTAATGAGAGGTGGTGATGGGTTGAACTAGGGTGGTGCCCCTGTAAATGGAGAGGAGGGGGGAGGGATGTGGGAGATGCCATTCAGGTAGAACTGACAAGACTTGTGAGACATTGTGGATGACGCTGGTGATGGTAGAGGAGTTCAGGACCCAGAATTTCTTATTCCATCACTGCTCATAATGATTCACAATGTGTTTTGGGCTTTGTCACAGTTACAGTTGGTCGAAAGCTTGTCTTTTGAGCATTCAGATTTATTTGACCAAGGGATATTTAAGTCATATATCTAGTGATCCTATGTGACATTTCCTTCTCTTGGCTGCCAATCTTACCTGTTCTGTACTTGTTTCAATGACTATCTTCTAATGTTATTGCTTGAGGTGGGCCAGGGTAGGTACTAGCCAGCCCTCAGTCAATCCCAGTCAAGCCAGACCCACTTGTTAGCAACAGGCCTGAGACCATGATAGGCCTTAAGTGAAGTTGGTGATTGATTAATAGCAGAGTTTGCTCAGGCTTGGAGCAAATCAGGCAGGGTGGGGACAGAGAACATTTGATCTTGAAGAGAGATTAGGTAGTCTTGGCAGGCTTAGGAACATTGCAAAATGTTCCCAGGATCAAAGTGATGTAAGTTCCAAGGCTTTCAGATCAAGTTGAGGTCCTTTGCTGGGCATTTCAAGTCAAAGGTCCAGCAGGGAGGAGGGCAGGCATAACTGAAGGTTACCTTCAGAAGAGAAATGTACAACCTGGGTAACTAATCAAGGAACTGGAAACAAATGGCTGGCAGTAGAAAAGAGGCAGCTGTAAACTCAGAGTAAGGAAAACCCTTCTGGTCATTAGAGCTGCCTAAGTCACTTAACTCTGTTTGCCTCAGTTCCTCAACTGTAAAATGAGCCGGAGAAGGAAATGGCAAACCACTCCAGTATCTTTGACAAGAAAACCCCAAATGGGGTCACGAAGAGTTGAACACGACTGAAACGACTGAACAACAGCAACAACAACAAGAGTAGAACAGGATGCCGTAACCTACACTGCTGCCAGGGGATAACCAATTAAGTGTATGCTGACAGAAACACATTAGAATTGTGCTTCTCAGTGCATCCAAACAAACTTGATTAATCAGAGCGTGCAAGTAATACCCTATAAGAACAAACCACTAACCTGGACTCTTAGAGCTCCCTTTAAGCATACTTCATGTGGAACTGGACAAGTTTCCCCAGCTGGATGTCCCTTTGGGATGGTCTGCTGGCAAATCTCAGTCAGCCAATCATCAATGCTCTTGAGGGAACACCAGCTTGCTCCAGTCTCAAGTGTGGGGGACACAGGAGCCAGCTCTCATCATGCCCTAGGAGCAGGCTGATGGCTGGGCTCTCAGGTAGGCTTTTCCTACTTTTAGCTGTGGTATTTAGGTATTCCTAAATTTTCTTCAAAATCACTGATAAAGTTGCTTATGATATTTTTTCATTGTTGGTTTGTTTTGTCATAAGGTCAATATGTGTTTATCAGTTGTTTAAGACCATGCTTACTAGGTCATACCACAAAGGTGCTTATTTTATTGTTTAAAAACAACTTACTCAAAACAGCTCAATCCTAAAATGGAGACTTAAAAATGGAATCCATTATGGTAGCTTGATGAACTATCTTATGAAGGTAATAGAACTTATTCTCACTATGTTATCAATTATGTTAAGTTGAGGTAATATATTCCTACTATCTTCTTAAGGGACTCAAGCTAATTTTCACTATTGCTCTTTCAGGAGGTAGTGGCTTCCTCCTTATTAGAGGTCTTTAAGTAGATGCCAGATAGCTATTCTTCACAGATTTCTGTACAAATATTGGTTGGACTAGGTGACCTGTAGAGTGAAAAATGCATTGGTTAAAGAACTAGGGCACTTGGTTTCAAATCTTGCCTCTGATAGGGTGACAGTGACTTAAACTGAACCTTGCTGGGCCTTGACTACCTCATCTTTAAAACGAGGGAGCTGAATTAGATTACCTCTTCTTATTTCAAATCTATCATTTCCTAGGTCTCTTCCGGTTCAGAAATTCTGTGATTTTGTGCATCAGGAATGGATCTTATCAAAATTCTGTACTGTGAAGCTACTAATACTCTCCAATTGCAGATTTTAAAAATCTTTGGTGGGGAACTGATGCTCAGAAAAATTGACTTTTAGGGCAGATGGTTTGTGGAAGTATGTTCATTAAATTTTTTTTCCCTGTCAGGCAGTTTTTCTTTTCTATTTTTTTACACTTTCAGTTTCATTGATGTTTTGTTTTTGTTACAGACTTTTACAGAATACTCCCACTGTGTAAGAGGTCTCTTGTAACAAAATAGAAATAGGTATCATCTGTAAGTGCAGGTAACATTTCACATCTAACATCCCCCACCCCACCACTAGCGATTTTAAAAAATGAAGAGATTTATTTTTTTCTCCCTCCCTTCCCCTTCCACCACTGGGGTAAAAAAGAAAGAAATAAAAAATTCTTTTAACAAATATACTGAGTCAAGCAAAAGAAACTCCGTCATTGGTACACAAAAGTATATATGACTTACTGTACACATTAAATCCATTATCTCCTTGTACTAGATACCACATTTCATTATCAGTCCTCTGGAATCAAAAATAATCATAGGATTGTATTGATCATTGTTATTACAGCTTTCATAGTGTGTTTTAATAGCATCGTTGTTATATAAATTGTTTTAGCTCTGTTCATTTCAGTCTTCTTAAGTTTATAAAAGTCCTTAAGATTGATCATTCTTATAATGTTGATGTTAGAATAAAAATTATTTCTTTTTCCACTCACTTTACTCTGCATCAGCTCATGTGTCTTTCCATATCTTTTTGAAATCATCAATTTCCTCATTTCTTACAGCACAATAGTACTCTATCACTTTCATATACCACAACTTATTCAGCCATTTGTCAGTTGTTCAACATCATGTTTCTTTTTTTTTTTTTTTGCTACCACCAAGAGAGCTGCCATAAATATTTTTGTACATAAAAGACTTTTTCCTCTTTCTTAGATCTCTTTTGGGTCTAGGGTAGGCCTGGCAATATAGCTGAGTCAAAGTGTGTACTTCTCAGTAATTTTTTTTGTGTATGTTCCAAATTGCTGTCCAGAATGATTGCACCCATTTACAGGTTCACCAGCTACAGCCTGGTCTTTTTAAACAA